ATAATGGAATAGAAAGATGATATGTGGACTATACTCATTCCTTTCCTGCTCAGTAAGCACAGCCTCATTTCAGATGCTCCTTTTTCAATTTCAGGAAGTGAGCAATTCCACAGAAGCCAGCAGAAGTCAAACAGGTTGGGATTGGTCTATAAGAGAAATGAGTGGAAATCTAGTGACTTTTTCTTAATCCAATAATCATTTATTCCTGGTATGGTGGCAATTGTCTTTTGCAAGACCAGAAGAAAATTTAAGGGAAAAAATAGTGAAACAGAAATTGTCCACATGCCTATATTATTCAAAATGAATGGTTTTTCTTCTGCTGATCAGATGTATTATAGACACATCCTGCCAATGTGAATATGATTAATCCATAATCAGCCTATTCTGGATAAGAGTGAAAAAAACTTTATAAAAATTGTTTACCCCAACCAGTCTTAATTTACAGACATTGCCCTAAAAGCCATGACTAAATTCCTTATTTTTTATATTGGTATATTATTACCATTCTTCCATATTCAGATATGGTGCAGCAATAAATGCACAAATACAGCCATTAGATTTGACACTGAAAACAACTATTACAACACCAAGTGGCAAGTTGTGACAGAACTTACAATTCGTTCTTGTCATTCCTGCCACCATTTCAGTGAAAGCAAAACTGAGAAGTTAAAGAATTCAGATCTAGCGAGCCCTGAAAAAGCTTAAAATCCCATTCACCGAGGTAGCTGTTTGAATCCCAAATCGGGCAGCCAAACCAAACCGCAACCTGTATGTTGATGAAATGAAACTAGGCTTTCTATTTGAGAAAATGTACTTAAAAGTGTTAAGGCTCCATGCATGCTGACCAGCAACAGAGAACAATTTTTCTTGAATTCTGTTTATATTGAATGTAAGAGTTTTAAGACCCAGTGGAACTGAAAGCTTTGAATGGGGAGTCCGTAGCTATAGGCTATGATGAATTCAGATTCTCCAGCACTAAGAATCTTTGTGTGGATTTTAAATGAAGCTCAAAAGTCACTGTGCAATCTCTGAATGTAAGCTTATAAAAAACTATTTTGGTTGCATAGCCTTTTAAGTGGGATAAGAATTCAGTTTATCTAGGAGGTAGATTCCAGTTAAGATCATCAACATAACAGGAAAGATTGCCAAAGAATTTCTGCACCATACAATGAGCTGTCTCTCCCCACTTAGTGACTATAATGCAAAAATAAAATCCGAGTAATTGTGACATTTATGACATATTCCGAGAACACTTAAAGATAATAAAATTGATCCCTTTTATGAGCGTATTAAAGAATATTCTTTGTTATGCCTAAGCATAATAGTAAGATACTATAATATTTCTTGACAATAGCAAATATGCGCGTATACAAAGCCATATGTGTAAGATATCAACATATTGAAAAGTAAAAAGTCAACAAATCAGAAGTCTCCTAAATCATTTTCCTTTTGCTAAAAAACTTTCAGATGCTGAACAACTAATTGTTCAGCTCAGTCTTTTCTGTGAAATGGTCCATGCTTTAGTTTATTATGCCAATTATATAGACAATTTTTTAATGAACCAGAATGGCTCCTGGTAACAGTCCACACTTTAAGAACACAATACATAGACTGATTTGAGAACTGCTACAGGCAATCTTATATTGCAGGAAAGTGGCAGCTTTGAACATCATAGTTTTGTTTAAAGCTAGTTTTGTTGACACTGCTGGTAGGGATGCAATCAGAGCGTGAGCAGTTATAGCAAAGCCAGCTTAAATCTGACAGCCACAAAGCTGAGAGAGTATGGGCTTTAGCCTGGTAATCTAGTGATTCACCAGGGCACAGACCTTCAACAGAAATGCACACTTTTCTCCTTCATTCCCACTTAATAAATACATTAGCTCAGGTATCTGCATGTGTTGCAGTTCTCTTCTGCAAGACAAGATTTCCTTTGAAAACACCAAGAAATGTATCTCCCAATACTGAAATGTTAGCAGTGGCTTGCAGATAACCTTGGCTAGGCATTGCCAGATGGTGACAGAAAAATCAGATGGCCAGAAAATCAGAAAATAAAAAGGTAATTAGCTGAAATAGAGTAATATTGGTCTTTATTGCATGGAATATTTGAGCTAATGATATTAAATTCATTATTTTTCCTATTAAAAAAAACCAACAACAACAACAACAACTTTAGAAGGACTTTAATATTTATCATTTTGTGTTGAGGAATGGTTTAAGTTGTAGCACTGGAATAACCCACGCCCAAGGTAGAAAAGTGAATGTTCCTAAGTGAGTTAATTACCCAAAAAGATACATCAGCAATGGTGAAAGAACTGAAAGGCTTAAAATTATAGATATTGATTTTCAGACAACTATTGTTATTTAGATTAAAAAAACATAAAGATGTAATTGGATCTGGTGTTCCAGGTAGAATTGTTTCACTCCAGTCCTGCTTTTGTAAATGCTCTATACACAATCTATTTTGTCTTTTTCTTTTTTTTCTGTAGAATTATTCTAATCTCTCTAAGCCATTACATCTGAGATTTTTTTTTTGACCTTTTTTGTTTGTAGATCTTGCAGCTGTTTTGTAAAGAGGATGCTAATGAAAATAAAGATAATAGAGATAATTGAGCATAAATATATGATAACACGTTCTAGGGTTGCATTTAAAGAAAAACATGACATTTAAATAGAACACAGCTGAAAGTCGGGTCACAAGATGAGTGAAAGAAAAAAAATGCATGAAAAAATAGGCACAAGAGATAAGATAAATAAGGATTGTCTTTGTTTTAAAGGAATACATGGAAGAAAAAAGGTAATTTTAAAGGAAGAAAAAGCCATAGATATTTTAGCAAGATTCTCTATTCTAGCAGAAGCCTTTTCAGCCCTTGCAACTTGCTGAACAAACACAAAAAGTGAAATTATAAGTGTAATAAACTCAGTTTCAAGACTTTTTCAGAGTAGTATCATGTAATATACAGTTATTCCATGTGTCTTTCTCAGTAGTTAGATTTTTAAATGGCCGATCACCAGACTAGACTGTGAAAGCATCTCCCAGACATTAACGATTTATCCTCACCGGAAGGCAGAAAGGTGAGATGAGATCAGCAGTCACAAGAAAGAGTGAGATTGAATAAGAAAGATCAGGGCTGATTCCAGATGTGAGTCTCGGTGCAATGCTTTATCCGTGCAACCTCCTCCCATAGGGAGCCTTTGTTAAGAGTCAAAGTCTTTACTGCTGCTGGTTCTGATCAGTCTGCCTTGTGCAACCATGGCAGTAGCAGCTTTAGAACCGTGGAACTGTTCTTCTCAGGCTACAGCTCGCAGCTCTGCAGTGAGTTCCAAGATGAGCTCTGCACTCAGGCTACACTGCTTAAGCTTTCCTTTGTGTTCAAACTTACACATTTATTCAAAAAGCTGCAACAAATGAGAATATCATTCAAGACTGTGAGTCATTCAAGGCCTGTGAGTTTGTTTTATCCTGTTGGAAATATCACTCTATATCTTGCCCACTTTATTCCCAGAGCAGAGATTGAAAATGTTCCAAAACAGTTTAAAAACACTGTGTATAAAGTGAAAACTAACTTGCAAGTTTATGTCTAGTTTCTGTTTTTAAATAAATTAACAATTGATTGCATTACTTACATTTTGAAAACTAGGTGAATATGCCTTGTTAATGTTCACTAAGTTCATTTCTAGTAAGCGGTGAATATTTATTTTGATATACAGTCATTTTCTCAACTAAAAAAAAAAATAAATGAAAACTACAACAATACTGTTTATTTCAGTTTTTAACACCCTTCCTTTATGCTCACTATACAGCTGAATATCTATAATCAAATTTTACTTTGGACCTTTTCCATCCAACAATCACACACAATTTCAGCTAGAGTCTCTCTTGCTTGTTTTCCTTTTTTTCTCAAAGATGTGAACTTGCTGTGCTATTTGTCTGTGCTTCAGCTCTGGATATCATATGTGGATAATGATCTCTCCTGCTCTTCGATTTGCAAGGCTTTTTCACATATGTGAGAAAAGGGCAGACACATCTTTAAAATGAATTACTGTAGTTTCAGAAATAAATTCACATGGGACAATGACATTAAAAGAAAGTTGAAAAAAATCTTTCTGTACACAAAAATATTTCCAAACAAAAAAATGCTTTTGTGTTTTAAGTGCTAATCAGGTAAGTGAGGGATATGAAATATGTCTATGTCCCATGTAATTTTGTTTGAAAAGCAGCAAAACCCACACTGCATTTACCTGTTTTACAGAGATTTCAGTGTAAATATTTTTGCTTTAGGATCCTTCTTGTCATATTTCAACACACAGTTTTAATTTTCAGCAATTCAGAATGCCACTTTCTCCTTAGTATCTTCTCCCACATTGGTTTATCACTGTGTCTTACCCTGCTGCTAGCTAAATCTCCTAAAGAATGGTTTACTTCAATGAAATTGGAAAGGTGATGAGACATCAAACTCATGGGAATATAAATTTGCAAGGAGGATAGAACTGCACCAGATCAGAGTACTGTAATAGTCTCTTTGATGCTGCAAGTCCAGTTTTTACAAAGCAAAATAATGCCTTACATTCTTCATCATGAGAATTAGCTGGAGAAAAAAAAAACAAAACAAAAGAAAACACATTTTGGTTTCACAGTGTTATACAGTGAAAATCTGTGGCTGATAAATAACATGCTTACACATATTTCCAAGTAGAAGAAGCATATGAGAACAGACTGGTTTCACCACCTGACTATTGCTTTCCTGTGTGAAAGGCAGGTACATGCTAGGTATGTCAGCTGCTTGTTTTTTCTCTGAAAATGTCTTCAGGTGCAAGAGCATAAATTGCTTCAGGACTACAGAAACCTTCTCTGCTTCTTTATCTGATAGATTTTCAGGATTGAATACTGAGTGGGGTATGGCAGCATTCAAGCAGATTTTTCATTTTATATCCTCCCAAAAAATCTCTAGATTTACTTGCCTCCACCCCCTTCCCCCCCCCCCCCCAAAAAAAAAACACCCACAAAAAAGAAAACAAAACACAAGAAGAGGAGTAAGAAAAGTATTACATTACTGCAGCTGAAATGCTGAAATCCATCATACAGGTCTCTTTTCGTTTAGGAAACAGAAAGAACAGAACATGAAAAGCAGATTTGCAGTTTTTTATTTCCCATTCCTGCTGCTTCTATTTGACAAAATCCAATAAAGAAACGAACTTGCCCCAAATTCTGATTTTGCTTCACTCCTGATAGAAGTGGGATTCAAAAGATGATGCTAATAAATACTACTACTACTACCATTAATAATAATAAATGTTGGTTTCTTTTCCACTAGTTGCCTCTTCTCATCTTTCAGGCCTTACTGATTTCCATCACTAGCACTTCACTGACTCAGGTGACCAGGCTACATCAAACTGTTCCAGTTTTCTCCTCCATTTCTTTGGCGTTTAATTCTTCGTGGCGTTTTTCTTATGTAAATCTTAGCACTCTTTCAGTTAAAGACTAAGCAGTCAATGGCTCCTATAGTGTGTCCACTAGCATACGGCTTAATAAGAGGTAAACTTCTAATCCAGTTTTCTTGAGTTATTTCCTGTTTCTTTAGTGTAGTAGTAAGCTATCTAGTGGAAAAATTCACTCACTCAGATGCACTCCTACTCCTACTTAATATCATTAAAATCAGAAAACTGAATTGTTATCCTAAAATGTAAGAGAGACTATCTTAATTTATTGTCTCTCATCTTTTTTTAAATCGGAAAATAAATGTGATTTATTATGGCTTAGAATTAATTCAGCTTTGTATCTATGCTCCTGATACAAAAGATCTGGTCCAAGACAAGTTGGAGCTGAATATTCTCAACTGTAAGTAGACAAGGACTATGATTTAAAAAGCAAGCAAACAAAAAAAACCCCATATTTTCCCAGTTCTGTTACACAGAAGTTCATTTACGGCTGTGCAAACTTGCATGAGAACTATGGTTTGTATCTGATTAGGAAATTTGAAAGAAGTTATACTCTGGTGCTTTTAATATTTAAAGTAAGAGCTGTCCAGTAAGGTCTTCCATCTCTTTCACTGCTTCCTGTCACTTCTCTTCATGTTCTCACAGCAAACCACTTCCTTTTTGCAACTCTTTCCCAGTAGGTTTCTGCTAGGAAATATGGCATTTAGGATTCTTAGGCTGCTCAGTGGTGCCTTTTTTGCAAATAGTGATACCAAATTAGTTTCTGTTGGGTCTTGCCCAGTTATGCACCTGGGAAGTCAGTGACTCCATAAAGTTTTCAGATGGTATAAGACAGTTGCCTTCCTTCCTCAACTGTACTGAAAGCCTGTTCTGAAGAGATTTAATATAATAAGCTATATAGAGCTAGCTAATTGGAAGTATGAAACACAGAGGCATGTCTGAATATATGATAGACTTAACTGTATCATTGAATGACTTGAGTTGGAAGAGACCTCCAGGATCAAGTTCCAGTCTCTTTGCTGCGGGCAGGGTTGCCAGCCACTAGATCAAGTACTAGACCAGGCTGCCCAGGGCTCCATTCAACTTGGCCTTGAGCACCTTCAGGGACAGCATGTCCACAACCTCCCTGGGCAGACTGTTCCAGCACCTCACCACGCAGTCAATGAAAAACTTCTCCTAACGTCTAATCTAAATCTTCCCTTCTTTAGCTTAAATCCATTCTCCCTTGATCAGTCACCATGTATCTGTTTAAAAAGTTGATTTTCCAAGACAGCTGGGTGATCAGGTTCAGCCAGCAAGAAAGATACGTCCTGCTTGATCAACATGATCTCGTTCTGTGATCGAGTGTTACTTCCATGCAGAACCATGTTTCAGCACAAACGGTCTTCTGAGATGAGTCACCTAACATAGGAAAAGCCTCATGCACAAAGACATTATGTCAACTCACTTGTGATCAGAAGTCTGAGTTTTAGGTATTGATCATTCTTAATTTTTTTTTTTTTTTTTTTTTTTTTTAAATTTCAGTTCTTGATTAAGCGCAGTTGGCACAAGTACCACCAACTTGGAATTATTCCCTCCAGCTGAAGATGACTCATTTTGCAGAATGTAATGCAAAATGCATGAGGTCCAATAGGAATGAGTGAAAATGAGGTGAGCCTGTAGTCTGGTAATGAGCTCTTTCCTGGAAGACATGTTAAGCAGGCCCAGGTCCTAAACCTTATTCATTCAGTTTTTCTGCGTATTGGCAAAGGCTGCAGAACTCCATAGTCCATAACAGAAGAGCTGCTATTCTTGCTTCTCTCTGGGGTTCTCTGACCCTGGCTGCTGTGTGTGCTGATTCATAGCGTTCATCAGGGTCAGTACTCAGAAGCCAGCCTATATTAAAAGCAGAACTTGCAGTCTTTAATGGGTAGTCCCAGTGTAGCCCCTGATTTCTAAATGGATACTCAAGAAAGTGAATAGGCTTTATGGAACCAGTTTCTCAGTAACTTGTCAGTGGAAGAGAGATCTACTTTCAGATCTGTCTTTTCAGTTGGACAGAAGACAAGGTACCACTGATCACTGATGCCAGAAGATGGAGAAATTGTGAAATGAAGATGCGCTTAGAGTACACCCAGCAACCATAACTGAACTCATATCTACAGTTTTATTTTCTATATTCATCACTGATGGGCTGCATTTGCAACAGGAATGAGAATAATGGCATAAACAAAAGTCCTGTCTTTCTTCGTAATTCTTCTTACCTAATCCTACAGAACAATCTACTTTTCACTCCTGCAGTTGTGTTATTATTATCAATACTGTAAACGCAGTCTGAAACACATTTCTCAACTAAGAGTGACTGTAAGTTACACAGCTGGGCTGAAAAGAGGAAGCAAACAAAGTTTGTTATCCTGTCTATCTTTCCAGTAAGATAGACTGTTTTGATGAAATGATGATATATTAACATTCACTGATGCAGCAAAATATGAGACCAAGTTAAAGGTAAAAAGTGAAAATCAGTGTTGTGTTGCACATCAAATTCTCAGTGCAGTGATTGATTACATATTCCAACTCTACAATGTGTAAGTCTATTTCAAAATCAAGTATATACTACAATACAGTTGTAAGAAGGAGTAACTTGAAGTGCTGAGCAATGCTTACAAGTTGGGGGAAAGAATATCTTTTCAGAATACATGTTAGTCCTTTTAAATAACCTAACAAAAATCAACATTTTGCAATTAGTATGGCTAGGAGAAGACACTGCTTAAACATATTGTAGGTGATGGTAATAACAACTTAGGTTTCTCTTACAGTATACAAAGCCTAAATTTCTCCCAATATTTTTCATAGTATAATGCAGTAGTCTAATACAGAGATTATTCTAAATTGCAGCCTGATTTTACTCACTTCCTTGAATGTGAGATGATACATAAACAACTTGCTTTGTCCAAAACCACATCAATCCTTTTCCTTCTATTCTGCCTCAAGGAAGTTAACCAGTGTTTCACAAACCCACTGAATGAACCAGCACTATTGTCTCAGTGAGAAAATTTCTGCAATGTTAGTTAAGGGTCTGTGGATGAAAATAGAGAAAGTACTCATCAAACCTTCATAGAAAAACCCTGGCATGAAAAAGGCTAAACTGGGAGTGTATATTACTCACTTTAAAGGGAAAGAGAACATAATAGTTATCCTTTGAAATAACACACGTTAAGCTTTACATCGCACATGACAGTTCCACAAGCTGTGAAACAGAGGACTAGGTGGCTGCTTGTTGTTACTGTTTTTTTAAATATAAAATAGGCAAACATGGCCTGAATTTACTCATTAAAAAAGCCAATAAAACCAGGTGCAGTGGAAGAAGCTGCTAGTTCACCCCCTAGGTGAAAAGTGATTATATGAGCCTGAGTGAAGAGTGGCTTTTCGTCTCTCCTATCCCTTGCTTTTCTTGACATTCACTGTTTACTCTGTGCAGGAAACATATTAATAAGTTTCAGTCTGAATGTAGCTTGTGCCCCATATCTCATAAAGCAGTAAGATTTTGTTATTATTCTGGATAAGAAAACTATAAATGAGATAACTCTCCTTTTAGCTATCATGACTTAGATAAAGCCTTTAATGATTAACTGAAAGGACTAGTTCACGTAAATACTGCTGTTTTCCAAATCTGTTTTATTTATGCAAAGTATTATTGATCATTAAAAAAAATAATCTAGCGAGGAGGTTTGCTTCAGCTTAACTGAAACTGATTCTTGTCAATCCTTTATGATAACACTTGCTGGAAAATTGTGAGCTTATTTTGGAAATTGTGTAGTTGAAACTAGCTAAAGCAGAAAACAACTGCATTTCTAGTTACTGAATTACATGGACGAGCCGGAGGGATTTCACTGAAAGCTGAAGTTGTATTCACTTTGGGCTGCCCAATATAAATCTTTTTTATGTTACCTGAATGGCACAAGAAAAAAATATTATAGTTCATATTATAGTTCATAATGCATCACCCCAAATTTTCAATGGTATCACTACTTCTCCTTAAACCAACATGTATGCATGTTGTAAGAGTTTAATCCCATAAATGTGAATTGGAGTCTGGTATAAAATAATAACAAGCAAAATAAATCTTTTCAAGAAGGGCCTGTATACAGCATGAGGATTTTAATCCTTCCAATCTCAGCCATCTGTTTCTGCTGTCCTTTCAGTATGCAAAGCCCTAAGATCAGTGCCTTATGTAACTCTAAAAGAGAACAAGGATGCAGACTACAAATAAATTTCAATATTATGTAATAACAGGTTAATGAAAAATACACACAGCCTTTTAAAACTTCATTCCATGCCAATAACTGCTGATCTTTTTCCCAATTACATTCTTATTGTATGTATTGATATCAATTTTATATTGAGTATTCCAAATAGCGGATTTTAAACAAATGCTAATTATTTTAAGATGTTTTGTTTTGTTTTTACAAAAAATATGCACCAGTATTTTTCTCAACAATTTTCTCTGCAGATTTATATTGGCTACTGAACTTCAGAACTTGCACTGTGGCTGCTTAAAGCTGTCAGAAATGCCAGAAATGAAAGCAATAGCTTGAGAGAATCGCCTGTACACATTGCTCTGTGCTACACGAAAGTCCAGATAACACCACCAATCATTTTTTTTGAGAAAGGAAATTACTTCTTTAAAGAAGATGGCTATGTTCTTGAAGGATGTTAGAGAGAACACTATTGCACAGATGGTGGGTAAATGAATAGCTATGCAGAAAACAGGATAAATCAGCTCTAAATTCCACAACATTTATTGTTGGTGTCAAGTTCTTCAGTATACTATAAATTAGTAGATTATTAGCCTAGCATGTGAGTTTGTAGTATTTTTATTTGTAAGGCAGAAATTGCGTTGCACATAAATAACAAAATGAAAACTACTTTATCTGACTGACAGTGATACAGAGCGCTATGTTTATAGCATAGCATAAAAACCACACCACTGAGTCCAATGTGTCAATGTGGCCAACATGAGAAAAAAAATTAAGTCAACATGAGAAAAAAAAAAAAAACCTTGTAATTAATACAGCTTCTCTTCATACAGTTCAAAGAAGGAGAAATTTCAAAACCATTTGCAGGAGGAAAAGGAGCCATTTAACTACCTGGCATTAAGAATTCTGATCCTAAATGAGAATTTCAAAAATACTTCCCTAGGAAGCAAATTGAGATGAACTGGCGTGTGTGTGCCATTGACTTATAGTGTCTCTAAAGCAGTTCTAATTACTGAATTCAGCTGCTGGTGATACATACTGTCACACTCATATTCTAAGTCTGCAGATGAACATCTGCTAATTTCTCAGATAATAGATAGAACTTACCTCAGGCTGAAATATGTGAAAATGCTACAAAACACATTCATATTTGAAAATATAAATGCTTGTGGTATGAGCCAGAAAGTAAAATAGCTTTCAGAAGTGAGGTAAATTCTTTTTAATTACACATAGAGGCACATGTGTAAGCAAAACTGTAAAGAACAAAACATTTACATGTCATTCCACCTACTGCGGAAAGAACAAAACCACAGCTGTTGGGAGTCAGGTTTCTACACTAATACAGAAAAGCACTCTTTTCTCAATTCAGTGAGAATTTCTGACCATTTTATTTCACCTCTGCCAAACATTTTGCAGTGCAGTAGAATACTCCTCTGTAATGAGGTAGAAACATATTCAGTGGCAAATTAAATGTGAGTGGGAAGTTCTCATAATAATATACATTATAACTATAATCTTGCTGACTGTATCTAGAGAAGTGATGTATAGATTGCAGTTATCACCTAGGTAGGACACATTCTGGATATCTGTCCAAACCTGGGTCTGAAATATCAATTCTTCAGCATTTTGAAATATGACAGTGATACTGCATTATGAGATTTTTGTTGAAAATCTGAACTATTGTCGTTTTTTTTTTTAACCCTCTATTCTCATGGGCATTAGAACCCATTAAGTTCCATATCCCTGTTTCCAAAACCTGGGAATTATCCTGATATTGCATGAATTAACCTCTGTAAGGCTTGCATCTTTTGCTTTTTTTTTCTGTCCACTCATGTGTTCTCTCATTTGCTTTATCCCCTGCTGAATCACAGATACAGGAAAGAACAAAAAGCATATAGATTACTCAGGACATCTCAGTGTAGTGAAGTACTGTACAGAACAGTTTGGTCAGCAGGATATTTAATACTTTGTCATCTAGACTTTTGAAGAGTTTGAGGCATCTCATTAACAGAATTGTTTCTTCCATTTAATTCTTAAGAATAAATTACTCTATTTTAATTTTATGTCATTACTTATTAAATCTTTCAGTTGTAGAACTGGAATGAATGAGAGATAGGTTACATATAGATGTACACATCAAAATAATCATTTCCAGTGCCATACAGTAACAATATCTTTATTTTCATCTATAACCTTTACTTTTTTCCCATATGACCGTCTGCATGTATTCAGGATTACAGCCTGTTTAAATACAGATGCTTAACTTGTCCAAGAGATGTTTAAGTGCATGATACTTCAGCAGTCTAAACACTGTTTAATTAATTAAAATGGTGTAATTATTAAATAATGATTTATTATATATCCAGTGTATTAAAATAAAAACTATACCAAAGACTGGCAGATTATGCTTCAAAACCATAAATTTCCCTGGGAAGCCTGTAGCTAATGTGTACCCACCATGACTTGTGTTAGACAAAGACTATGAAAAACATGCAAGAAGCTCAATTCAATAAAAATGATACCAATTTCTGCTGGATTTAAGATCCAGAGCAATGCCTGTAAAGGCTATAGCTCAAGTCCAATAAGAATCTATGAACTCCAGTTTCCTATTTTTTACTACTGCATTTTCTCCCACGTTTCTACCTTGAGACAAATTCTTAAAATAGCAGAAAATACTTTCTGATCACTGCGGGAGAATTTTTCTCTTGCTATTTCTGTTACTTTGCTTTACTTAATCCATTTTTATCTTTCCCTTTTCATCTTCCCCATACCATCTGCAATGGTCGCCCTTGCTTCACTTCTGCTTTTCCTGGAAGATAACTCTTAGCAAGTTAAACCTTCCACCTTATGTGTATAATTCTGTTTCAGCATTGACATTGTTTAGTAAAACTGCGTCTTCCAGTCACCCAGATTGTAAGGCTCATGGTTGTTTCTCACTGAGATTGCAAGCTGTGCCATCTGGGTGATGTGGTGGGTCCTGTCTAGTGCATTACTCTGGATACTCACTGACATGAACTCTGAGAACAGTATGACCAGAAGAATATTTTCAGCAGGAAAGACTGCACAATCTGCATTACAAATATTCCTGAGAAAACAATTCAAAAAGCATTAACAGCATCCAAAAGCATGTTTAATTATTCTAAGAATTGTTTGTAATACATTTTTCTCCTTGGCATAGTGCCAGCGTGCAGTGTGCTTTACTAGGATTTTATATGCTTCAGTAAAGTATCTATGCATACTTCTTTGCTTAGGCTATGAAATTTGTTGCTATGGAAATATCTAAAATGGTCTGTGACAAAGAGTGGGAAAATTCATTCAGGCAAAAAAAGGATCCAGCCTGAATCTCCATTCAGTAGTCAAAGTGAATGGTAGCTGTTTCTCTGCTTTTTAGTAGCTTAATATATTCTCTGTATTATTGATATCTTTCAGCCACTTGCATCCAGTTCATATAGGTTCCAGCTCAGTGCATAATCTGGGCACAGCAGTTCAAGCATCATCTCTGATAACTCAGATTAAACTCAATTAGATTAATTTATCCTTGCTATTCTTTGTCTTCTACTTGCTTCCCTAAAATTTCTTGGCACAGGATCACTTTCTAGATTAGCTGCACCACTGACTGCACTACCTTCTTTCCAAACATTTAAACCTCAGATGATTTATTGCTTCTGACAAGTACAGTGCACTCTGGGAACTAACAGAATAGAAACCTTCAGATTGGGGGGGAATTTAAAAAGAGCAACAGTAACTTCCAGCAAAGTGTGTCTTGGGTCCTGCTGTCTGAGCAGTTTCTCTTGCTGGAGAAGAGAAGCTGGCCTTAGGCAAAAAACTGTGAGAGAGCATGCAAGGTAGGCTCACATGATGTTCACATGCATGCATATATTCTGTTCTGCATATACGTTTTTCTTTTGGTGGCAGGATCTTTACTGTGTTGTAGGCTTTCTGCTGTTAGCATCTTGGAACCAAAGAGAGAACCTTACTTTTCAAAATCTCTGTCTCCAATTAGGAAAACAGACTTTCAGATGACTGTGCTGATTGGTGAGACAGATTCTGCAATTAAAAATTGGAGCAGCACCTGTCAGTAACTGAGATGTCTCCTTGCTATTAATTTGAAACTAATACCGAATATGATCTCTTAAGAAATACATTAACAAAGGACTAAGATTACATTGGCTACAGGTAAGAAAAGCAGTTCATGGCTTCATGATCTATTTATTCATCTGTCTCTCATCTCTGTTTATTTAATTACTGTGAATTTAAGTATAATTGCAGAATGCTATTAACCAGGGATGATTTTCTGTGTATAGAATGGATTTGAAGATTTAACCCTCTGTTCCCTGGTAAGTCCTCTGCACAAATCCTCAGATTACATGACAAATTGGAGAAAAGAGTAATACAGAACTACCAAGACTGCATGTTTTATTGTGGATATTGGGTAAGGATAGATGAAAAACCTAATGATGTTACCACATTCCAGAGGCTACAGAAACAGATTATTGAACATGACAAAGCCAGTTCTCCTGAAGAAAGCTGAAGTATTGGTTCTTCCTTGATCTAAAACCCTATTATCATACAATTAAAAAGGCAAGCAGAGGATCAGCAAAAATCAAGCCAAGTTCTGCCTGCAAACAAACAAAAAATGAACTAAAATTCTATAAAGAGTAAGTTTTTGGCTTAAATGATAAATTGCTTATGTAGTAACTGCCTGTTTTCTTTCACTAAGAGGCAAAGCAAATCCTTTCACTCTGCCATCAAGCCATAGAGATATAACTACTTGGAAAACAACATGAGCAAGAATACATGTATTGACAAAATATAAAAAATACGAGGTCAGAAAATGTGCTCCCATAAAAATAATGGAGAACAAGTTGCTATAATAGTAAATAAGTGCTACAGGGTAAGATGTTCTGAAGTATTCACATAACTTACAATGCCAGTCCTCCTTACAAATTAATACTTTTCTATAAACTGTATCTATTTTTTAAAGAATTTTTATTTAATGTGCCTATAAATGTTAAATATCTACCATATTAAATCAGAAATGTCAGCCTTCAAAATGCCTAGGAGTATGTAACATCAAGACTCTGTCAGAATAGCTACAGAACTCTGGTTCTCAGATGGAAGATAAAATATATTTCTTATACCAATTCATTCTACTACAAAAAGTTATTAATGAAGGTAATGACACAGTCACACACTAGTATATAAGAGAAAACAAAGGGCAAGAACCATCATGTCAAAAAATTATGATTTCGGAAATAAACTGAAAATGGAATAGTAAGACAGAAATCAGAAAACCAACATTATATAAGATCAAAAGCCACCAAATTGAGTCACCACATCACTCAAGTTTTCCATAATAAAACAGGATATGAAATAATATAAGATTATTATTATAAAATTCAGTTTTCAGTGGGACTTACAGTTTTAAAAATAAATACTGAATTTAGAAACCTGTGCTGGTTTCACAGAGGCATTTAAGCTAATTCCTCTTACCTGTTATAGTTGCTTTGTTAATAGATGGTTGGTTACACATTGGTGACCGTCTGTTTGAAAAGAAAAGAAAAAAAAAGACTTATCAAGCTGTTAAACTCATAAATGGTTGAAGAATACAAGAAAACATGTTTCTTTGGGAAATTATTTGTGACTGAAGCACAATGGCATAAAAGTTCATTTAGCTATTTTCTGGTAACACATCAAGGAATTCGCAATGGTTGCTCAAATCTTTCTACAGATTGGGATATATCTTCAGCAGGGAAATTTAGAAATTAATTTACGAGTCTGCTTAATCCTTAATTGAATATGTACCTAGCTTAAAGTTCAGTCTCTATCTATAATTATTACTTTTATGGCTTGCACTACCCATGTTCGCTCACTCAGAACAAATTCTTATAGCAACAATTAGTTTTAACTTTTTTTTTTTTTTTTTGCATGCACTTCACAATAATCTTCAGGGCAAACAGCTCAGTTGTTCATTGATGAAAGTTAAAATTTGCTGGATTAACATAGCTGTTTAGAGATGACAGCAGGCAGGATCTGAATAGGGCATATTCCAAATGAAGGGGCTGGAAATATCTTTTAATAGAATTGCATATGCAATGGTGGGCATTTGTCATTATGAGCTTAAGTCTTCGGTGAGAAACTGCCACAGTTCCATGAATGCTACCTGATTCTAATTTAGAATGATAAAAATGGATTCACTACAAAATTTTCCAGTTTAACTAACATTAATGTTAACTATGATACTGTAGCAGAATTGAAAATCATATTTATAATATGTCACTCATTATCATGAACTACTGTGGATATGTAAGACATCTTTATCTTGGATGACTTCTAGATCCAGATCTTGCAATCAGGGTAGCTATCTGTTCACTTTGGCTCATTTGCACAACTCAGACTCATTGCCTGAATTATCATCTCTGAATTATCCTTAACATATGACTTACTGAAAATTGTAGAAATTGCATAAATAAAAATTACTGGATGGTTATGCAAGGAAACCTATGCAAGAGCAGATAGTAGGCAAGAGGGCTTCTGTCTCATCTGTCAAGTATAGGCAGTTTCAACAGATAATAAAACCATTACAAGTTTTACACTTGTAAAGCCATAAAAAATCTATAACATCTAATTGTTATTCTTAGTTCATATTTTAAAAATACCACTGCTAAAAGTTCAGTGGCCAAAAATTGATTCTTACTTGCTGGGTGCCCGATCTTGTAAATTGGTTAATGCAGCAAAGTTATTCCGTACAGTACGCAGGCTGGCCAGCACCTGGAACAGACAAAATGGCTTCAGTCTAAATTTCTGCACAGGCGAGACTGAATTAGCTCCACTCCACTATGCTGAAAGGAAAAGAAAGGACAATGCAAAATACCTGTGAAATGTTCCCAGGGTTGGTTTGACCAGTCTTTGAACATTATCTAACAATAACATGTCTGTAATAAAAGGCCAATAGTTGATTTTTTTTTTGTTCTCTAATAACCAATTCATTATTTGTTTAAAGACAGACTTAGCTGAAGAGGAGGGAAGTTTTTCACAGAATATTATTTAGTTCTCTAAAATGACCATAAAAGCACTCGTGTTTGGATGATAATAGTCCATTCAAGCCTAATACTTCATACATAAGAAATGATTACATATTTTTCCGTTTGCTGTTCAGCCCCCACAAATCTCAAATGACAAAGAGAATGAAATTGTTTAGACAGACAAAGAAAATAAAAGTGGCTCCCTTAAGGAGCCTGATTCATTTGGGTACTTAGTACAGGACACATTAGGAGGAAGGTATTATTAGAGCAGGTGAAAAATGTATGCAGGCCCAAAACTACAGGACTTGCATACTGTGAAAGACAATATAAATGGAGTACTTGCTTCCTGAACTTTTTTAATGGAAGACAGTAGCTAAAGTAGGCAGCAGAGAAATGTCTTAATATAAGTGGTATAGACATTCTCTGCTGAAGGAAGTTGGATGAATGTAACAAATTTTGCATGTTAACAACATGACGTGAGTGTGTAAGTATATTTATAAGTTTTTGTTCAGATAGGTGATTTTTTTCTTTTTTTCAAGCAAACAAGTCTTATATAATATTAAGAGTGGAGAAGAACTGGTTTGGCCTTCTTGGGTTGCACGATCATATGAGGAACAAGGCAAAACTGTGCCTACCTGAGCAAATGGTGTCACAATCAAGTCATCTCCATGTCTGAAAAAACAAGCAGAGTTGTAAGTTAGATATTAGTGAAAACTAATAAAACTAACTAATCTCCCTGCTACTGCTTTAACAGAAAGAAAATAAGGTTTTACAATGCACTGGGGGTATCTCCAGGTTTACTGTTCAACAGTTACTGATGCTGCTTCACAGGTTGTTTTGAAAAGCAAATACCAAATCAGTCATTGTCCAATCGTTCAATACATATGGGATGGCTAATGAACCAGCCAGTTTCTACACAGGACTGCACGGAACAGACCTGAAGAGATTTTATCCCAAACAAACTTGAAAATACTGAGAGATTATATTAAAGCTTACTAGCACGTTCGTGAGCACTGGCCAGGCAAGTAACTGCAGATGACTGGGCAGTGCATCACAGACTAATAAAAACCTAGTAAAACTTTTGAATTGACTCACGCTGGTGTAGTTATAAGGGAGTGTAACCAAGAGTGTGCTGTTGCTGTGCCAACCTCACCCACATCACACTGGCTGACGTAAGGCATGGTGTTGGGATGACGCGTGGCCACAGAGAGGCAGGAAAAGAAGGGTTTCCTTACTTCTTCTCTGAAATGCTTGCACTGAGAGTTTGGCTTATGCTGTGAAGTATTTCCCCTCACTTTATAAATAAAATATTAAAGCTACACACAAAGTACCACGTGCAGTCATGTCTTACTCTAAGAGAACACTGAAAAACCAAAGGAAGAAACTAACTGGAACCTGAAGCATGCATTAACTGTCCACTTTCATCCAAACTGTGAGAAACAAGGAAAACTTGGTATTTTCAGTTATCATGTCTAGAAGTTTGCAGCAAAGAAAAGAAAAAAGAAAAAAAAAAAAAAAGAAAAAAAAAAAAAAAAAAAAAGATAAAATCTAATGTAACTTCATATTTAATTATTCTGTATTTTGTATTTCTGTATTCTGCATTTTCCTACATTTATCACAAAACACTGTAAATTGTATTTGGACCTGAAATCTTTCAACAGAAATTACTATTGTTTTGATACTGCTTTCATGTTATTCAGGTCTAAAGTATGAGAAATTACTATCAGATTTTCAAATCCAGGTCTGTTTCCAATACTAATCAAAATTATGAAGGTTCATTAAACCCAGCTAGTCATTAACTCTCTTGTTAAAGTACTGGGCTGATTTATCTTGTTTATAATAATCAGTTGAATTTGGTTTCATGAGGTAAAGTCTCTGAATTACTTCCATGGTGCTATGGTGCCTTTATTCCTCTTCTACCTGCTTTCCCGTCAAACTGGGACTTTTTTCAACTTAGCTCAACCATTCCTGCAAAGAAAACAATTCAATGAAGCATCCTCACAGCAATGATTTCCTCAAGCATCCAGGAAGGAAATACCCTTCACAATATTTGCATTAGCCGTGGAACATACTTTTTTTCTGCATTCTTGGTAAAGCAGGGAACTAGGGAAATTAATGACTGTGATGTAAAAGTTAAGGTTGGCATCCATGGCATTTAATTCAGCTTCCTAAGGGAATGGAAAGATCATACCTCTTCCTTTTTGATCCTAACTGATCAAATAAAATTGTGCTATTTCTTATAGTCAGTCTGATGTGGTCTTAGCAGGTACATATCCACAGCAAAAGTGTATGTCACACTCTTTGTTAATAATCTATGAAAGACAACTTGAATTTCTTATCAGTATTGCTCAATGCATTACATAGCTAGACAATGGAAGAGCAAGTCATAGAGAAGATGTATAGCAAAGGCTTCAAGAGAACACAAGCAAAGTGCATCTTTTCTTTTTCTCTCATTCTCCACTTAAATAGTCATAATATGAACATGTAAACTATATCACTCCCATAAAAATTTTGCTGTTTTCTTCAAATTATGTGAAACAGTATTATCAGCTGTGCGAAAGCTGGTTTGGTAAAACTGTAAAAATTGAATGCTCCTCTGTTTCACTATCTCATGTATACTGCATTACTGGGAGTGTATTTCATCGGTCTTCTTCCCATTCAATGATCCTGTTTGCCACCTCTTGAAAATACCATCACTCCGTTGCTTTAATTTTTGAATTTTAATCTAGTTAAGCTTTTTCTGGACTGCATTTCACTGGAGAATATTCATGAAGTAGTGTGGCTTGTTATCTGCTAAAGGAGACATTATTGAATATTAAATTAATGCACTGAAACCAATCCAGGATTTAATTTACCTATTTAAAATATCCCTTCTGTCAAGAGTAACAACTACAGAAATTGTCACTACTTGGTAGAATAGCAATATTGGAAGTACAGATATGAATTGTATCGAGAGAAGCATGGCCAGCAGGTTGAGGGAGGCAATTCTGCCCTTTTACTCTGCTCTCATGAGTACTAGTACTAGGAGCCTCCAACACAAGAAGGACGTGGGGTTGTTGGAGTCGGTTCAGAAGAGGGCCATGAAGATGATCAGAGGGCTGGAGCACCTTCCCTGTGAGGCTGAGAGAACTCGGGCTTTTCAGCCTGGAGAAGAGAAGGCTCTGAGTAAACCTTACAGTGACCAACCAGTACCTGACAGAGGCCTACAGGAAAGCTGGGAGGGATGTCTTATAAGCACGCATAGTGACAGGATACGGGGAAATGGCTTTAAACTGGAAGAGGGTAGATTAGACTAGATATTAGGACTAAATTTGTTACTGTTAGGGTGGTGAGACACTGGAACAGGTTGCCCAGCAAAGCTGTGAATGCTCCTCCCCTGGAGTTGTTCAAGGACAGGCTCGATGGGGCTTCGACCAATCTGGTCTAGAGGGAGGTGACCCTGCCTATAGCAGGGTGTTGGAAGTACATGATCTTAAAAGCCCCTTCCAACCCAAACCATTCTGTGATTCTAAGATTCTATCCACAGTTTTCATAAATTAGTTTAGCACATGCCAGATAAATTTGGAAAGAAAAGCAATTTCATAGTGTGTTGAGCAATCTTTAATCCACATTGGGTCAGGAAATCTGGAAAAGGTGAGAGTGTTCAAAAAGGGAGCAGAATTGTCTAAACTGGCTGTGTTATTTTTTGATATAGAACAGCAAGCGTATATGATTTAATCAAAGTGCTATTGATCCACTGTGTACTCTAGTGTAGTAAAACATTGTGATTTATGATTTCCTGCTGTTTTCTTTTCTGATGATATGGAATCTGATTGATGATTCTGTTTGGATTCTATACAGGATAGTGCCACACATCTTTATACAGAGGCATTAAGAGGAGTATAAAACCTGTGCAATGTATCGTAACCTTCCAAATAAAGACAGAGCTGTTAATCTTTAAGGTTAGAAAAATTATTATCTCTAATATAACTCTGTTAAGTCAGTTAACTAGAATGCCTTGCATACTCATTCATATATTCATTTTTCAAAGGAAAGACAAACTTGAAAAAGATTTTAACACAGATCAAAAATTTTAAGTTATCAAATTTGCTACCACTAACAAAAGCTGCTAAAAAATGTAACAGCCTATATGAGAAGAACTAGTGTTACATACAACACAAGTGAAATTACCAATAGTATACCAAATACTATAAAAAGCATTGCAAGCTATTTGCCCCTTAAAGTGATGAAGCTTGGCCTTCTGCAATGTTGTTGGCTTTCATTCCTAACCTTTCCTATGGTACATACTTGAATTCTCCCCATGTAACTTACAATGGTCTCCGTTCTGAAGAAGAGATAAAAATGTCATGCCAAGTCAGACACGTATATTTAGCTAGCTGTTGACAAATGCAAAGTACACAATTTCAGCCTTCCTCTCCTCAAGACTGGCATTAATTTCTTTCTTCTACTCGAATTACAGGACAGTAATTAACTTTGCCTTTTCTAAAGTGGACCTTAAGAGTTACATGCATGGACAGACAGAGAAACAGGAAGGAAGATGAAATCAGGGATAGGCTGGGTGACTGCAAAACCTTCATTTCTTAATTAAGTTGAGATAATTTAATTTAATCATCTAATAAAAGGAGTTGCTAAAGAGACATTCTGCAGATCTGCTAGGATCCAGTTAAAAAAAAAAAAAGGGTGTATTTATGTGGTTGGAAAACAGTCAAGATACCCATTAAAGGGATATGTGTCTCAGACCTTAGACACCACTAGAAATGTGACTTGCACTTGCCAGTGTGGAGCTAGCATGAAGGGTCCTGAATAAGATTTATCCTTGTAAATAATAATAAACTCAAGTTATGACTTTGAGGCAGATGTGAACACCAAGTGAGTCATCTGAAGGACACAAAAGTAAGACTTAAATAGGCAAATAAAAACACTGTCTAAAAAAAGAAGGAGAAATGGACAAAATATATTTATACTAGCTTGACACATACTTTTACATGGACAAGGTACAGTCAAAATGACAGAAACTCCCAGAAACAAGCAGCAGTTAACACAGCAGTCTTTGGCATTGCTTTGAAATTCAGGACCACAAGGTTCAAGCCAGGAGGATGCCTGGCAAACCTTCCAAAAATCTTGTGTGCCTACTGCTTTCAGGCAACGACAAAGAAAGCAGAGATATAGCGGTGTGGGTGGAAGGAAGTTCCGGCAGCTTGAAGTGCGTGTAATTAGCTGCCCTTGACCTAGAGTGCCTGGATCCTTTCCTGTATCAGTCCCCTGATTAGGAAAGGTCAAGCACCCTTCAGCTGCTGCCTGGGAGAGAACTGTTTGAGAGCTGATCGCAGAGCTCAGCCAACCGAGCAGCCAACAGTTGCAGCAATTTGCAGAGAGGACTCATTGTTGAATGTGGATTGTTCTGAGTCTTGGATATTTTGGTGATGCACTACAGACAGATTAGACCAGGAGATGCTGTAAGAAATATCTTTACAAGGCTGGAAGATTTGGTGCAGCAGAACTTCATATGTTAGATGCTGCCCTCCAGGCCTCTGGCTGCTGAGACCGCTGGGGCTTCTCTGAAGCCAGGAGAGAGAGACCCTATCCTGCAGAAAGTGGCAGCTGTGCTGGCTAGGGGAAGACTTAAAACAGGAAGTGGGTGGGCTATATCATATAAGAAAAGATGAAAGTGA